CAAATGCTCTCAAATGGCCGCGCGTCTACAACCACTACTATGGGATACTACTCACTGCATTCTCGTGGCGCGGGTGACATTTACGAAATTTAGAGGATGAAAAACGAATGTTCATCACTTTAACCGGATTGGTGGACACGGAGAGTCCACATAGAGGAGTTGGAAAACCCTCATTCATAACCAATGATGCACATTAGCCCCAATATCCTAAAGGAACAAATGGAGTATGAACCTATTGTTGGTCACCGTCTACCATGAGACTGTATCTCCTGATGTTGCTCCGCTTCCTAGTGGATTAAACTTCCATGTCAAAGTTTCGGGTGTGACCCCCTTAAGAAAACCACCTGCTTCGCTCTGAACAAACGGGCAGTATCACAGCCTACACACAAATCAAGTGATTTGTGTGTAGCATATCTATTTGGTGGCTATTTGTACCAATTATATATGTATTCAAATTTCATTGTAATCATAAAAGCTTCAAACATCATATTAGAAATTAGTTCACATTTCAATATCATTACAATTTATTATCAGATGATATCATTTCATTATAAAAGATAACTAAAAATTGAATAGATTTCTATAATATATTGAACCAAATAATGATGACTAATAATTAGTAAAAGATATCTCAGTCAGTTAGTCAGTCAGCTAAAACGTACAACTTTGAGCGTATGTACACCAGTTCAAGTCACAATACAACATTAGCACAGAGATACAGTTGTCAATTCAAATCCCATAATGGTAGAGATAATATGAGTATAAACAGTAATCGGAAACATTAGGATTTGAATATGTTATTCAAGGTATGTAATCCAGTGAAAAAAATTTGGAAAGAGGAAAAAACGGACAACAAGAATTCAAATTAGAATTTGGGAGATCAAAAACAATGGATTCATCTGTGTCATTGCAAAAGATTTTGAGTCATATCATTTAATGTATTTAACCAACGGTTTATATCATCTCTTGGATACCAACCAGGTAGTCTACAATTACCAACACGATTCAGTCTACTTGTCAGTGACTTCATGGATTTGTGACATGTTTTGGTATGGCCTTTCACTACTTCATCAATTGATTTGCCATCCTTACCTAATATCCGTTTCCTAACAACTACATTACTTATTCAGTCTCCCCAGGATATACGAGCAATGCTTTGAAGACACATATGATCAAATACTATACTATAACTTTAATTTATTGAATACTAAGGGAGAATCAATCCATATATTTAGTATAAATGTAGCTGCACTATCACTATTACTTACAAAACTTATCATGTTATTACCAGTCATATTCCACATATTTTATAATCAACAATCAACCTAACTAATTATCACATATAACAATATTAATTAGCTAAAAAGTAAAAAAGGTATCATATTATTATTGCTATTATTATTATTATTATTAATAGTAGTAGTAGTAGTAGTAGTAGTAGTAGTAGTAGTAGTAGTAGTAGTAGTGTAGTGAAATAAAACACCAGTGGGGACAATCCAATGTATTTAACAACCAATTACAGAACTAGTTGGTAAAATCAAACAACCATATATTGAATCGTAAATTTGCAAATTGTTCATCAATTGTCTCAAATCACTCAGAATCCCCTTGTTCTTGCATTTTCATACAAATTGCCTTTTGTCTTCATTCTTTATTGTTCGATGTTCTTATCTATCTGCCGCCAGACATTCTGTTCAGTGCTCACGTCATATACTTATTTATTTATTTATTTATTTATTTATTTGTTTTAACACATAAGTATAGGTACAGGAAGGCACCAAATACATATGCGCCACACAAATCTCAATTGATTTGTGTGAGGGCTGTGATACTGCCCGGGTGCCCAAACCGAAGCAGGTGGTTTTCTTAGGGGGCCACACCCCGAGCCTTTGACCTGAACGTCTGACCCACAAGGCAGTGGAGCATCGTGAGGAGATGCAGTCCCATGGTAGCCGGTGACCAACGATTGGTTCATACGCCAGTTGTTCCCGCAGGATACTGGAGCCCATGTGCACCATTGGTTTGGGGTCCGGTTAAAGCGCCAGACATTCGCTTTTCGTCCTCTCATTTTTGTAAACAACACCCCCGCCACGAGAAGGCAGTGAGTAGGACTTCCCTGTCAGAGGCTATATACGCATGGCCATGTGAGAGCATTTCGAGAGGGAGAGCGGACTCTCCCCACTGTCGGCCGTACCAGAGCATTTGGGGGCACGTCATATACTACTTATGTCTACATAAGTAGCACACACCACAGTAGTAGTAGTAGTAGTAGTAGTAGTAGTAGTAGTAGTAGTAGTAGTAGTAGTAGCATCAATTAATGAGAAACATGCAATACGAATCGTCAAATGATGATCGTTTACTTTTATTTTACATCTACATACAAATTACTACTTTTAATACTACTTAAACCCAATACTATATTCTAACATATGATATCAATTGCCAATATATATATATATATATATATATATATATATATACTCAAATAAAATCAATATATACAAGACATATGATTACAAATAAATCAAAAGAAACATAGTATGTTCTCCTCTTAATAGAAAGTTTACATCACACGATAAATTTAATTTTCATAGAAAAAAATCAAGCAAACAAACAAACATAGAAAATTTTTTCGATTCTGTAAAACTTAAAACATCTTAGAATCTAATTGATCTTTCAATGATACGTAAGAATTTAAATGCATTATTATTATCAAATAAAGAAGTATAATATAACATTGTGTGATCTTGATATTTTGTTAGAGATATGAGGGCGATTAACGATTCCCGGTAGCCCACACTGTGGAAGGGTTGTTCTGGAGGAATCTCAAAAAACGAAATTGAATTAGAGGTGGTTACAGTGACCTGAGAGCGTGATCACAATGCCCCAAGGAACAATTGATTGAGATCGGTCACACACAACCTTTTTGACAGTAATTTTCGTGTTAACTTCGTACTTGTTTAGACCTTACCGTCAGAAACAGATATATGTGGGATAAGACGAGGTACGCATTTTTAGGGTCGACCGCTTCTAACTCCACCCCGCCTTGTGGCAAGGCAGCATCTCTGTTATGTTCGTTGTCTGAAGAAAACACATGATTGCCATCATATGTCTGTACAGTCAGCAGTACAACTTCGCATTCGGACCTTGGGTTTCCTGCTTTTAATCTCATCGTTCTTCAACCGACCTGTCTGGCATGGTAAGACCACCTTAAGGAACCATTGTTCCAGTATAGCCAGTATAGCTCAGTTGCTTCATCACGATAGGCAAGCCCGACCACCACGTCAAGGTAGCAACAACCGTCGGGACATAACATTCAGTGAATAGGTAAATTATAAAAAATAAGTAGGGCAACAAGTACTGCACAGCAGTTCGTTCCGTCCTATTTTATGGCAGTGAAGCATGGCCGGTAAGAGTAGAAGATATTCTTTGGTTACTAGTATTCCATCATGGGTGTCTTCGAAACATTCCTCGTATATTCTGGGACGACCGGGTAATTAATGTAGTGTTTAGGCAAAGTTGGCAAATCAATTGATGAAGAAGGGAAAGGGAGTAGGAAGTAGGTTGAATGAAAGCTAGGGACGGCCAGACCAAAACATGGAACAAATCCATGAAGTAACTGACAAGTGGACTCAGTCATATTTGCAGGTGTAGACTATCTGGTTGAGATCCGCAAGATGAAAGCAACCGATGGTTAGAGACCTTGAATGACAAGACTCAATATTGTTTGCAATGGCACAGGTGAATCCACTCATTGTGATCTCCCAAATTCTAATCTTCTGAGTTCTCTTTCCAAATTTATTTCAGTGGATTATACTCATTGAATAACACATTCAAACCCCAATGTTTCCGATTACTGCTTATACTTGTAGTATCTCTACCACTATGATATTTGAATCGACAATTGTATCTGTGTGCTAATGTGGTATGTCAAGTTGAACTAATGTACGTACGTAAGCACGTACGAAGTTCTATGTTGTTACTGACTGACTGACTAATCTAACACTTAAATCAGCAATAACACTATTGGTGATATCAAAAAAGATTAATGTAAGCTAACAAATAACGTTTATCGATAGATTTATCTTTGAGAGTAGAAATGTAAACATAGTAAATTAAAAGAATAAATAAGGTAATATACCATGTATGATTACATAACAAAATACTGGAAAACTTTGGAACGAGAAATTCTAAAGAAAATTGAATCGAACATCAAACAATGGTGGTACTTACACTACACAGTTAAATAAATCCCAAGTCAAATGAACTGCTATACTTGAAGAGATTATAAGTTCATCTAACCTGCGAGCGGTATAAAGACTCAGTGACATAATGATCAAATAAGCTAACTATTCTGATGCGTCCCAGCTCCGCTAACCAGAAAATGTTCAAGTTCAGAAGAAGGAAATGTATCGACAAGCATCCATAAGCATGAACAATAACCACAAGCACAATTCAAACGTATATATACGTTACAAACGTTACAAAATAACATACTAAAAGAGACAACGGACTAGTGACATTTAAGGCCTTCCCAAGTGGAAAATACGACATGAAGGTGAAAATGAGCGCTTTTAGCGCGAAAATACGAAATTCAAATCTTCAACAATAACTGAGAATCAAATTGACATATGATGAAAATTAGAGACAGTTGTAACTATAAAATTGATATTATAGAACTCAATTATTCAATCAGAAGGTGATAAACAAACAAATCATAGGATCATTCAAGTTCAAAAAGTGAATAGAATAGAACACAACAAACATATTAGATTATGATTAGTACCTTATAAAAAAACCTTCAATAAAATGAAAACAAACAAACATAGTTTTTGATTGAGATCATGAACCGATTGATGTTAGACCACCATTGGAAACCTGAAAGCACTGGACAAAACGGTTGTCCAGTGGTGGTCTAACATCAATCGATTCATGATCTCAATCAAAAAACTTAACAATCTACACAACCTCTAAAACTGATAAACATAGTTTTCACTTACCATAAAGATTTATTTCGAAGTACTGGTGGTTTGTAACTACGCATACCAAGTATTCGTAAAGCTCTATGAATAAAAGAAATTTTTATATAGAAAATGTATTAAAATATATTGATAACAGAAAAAGAAATTCTATGATAACTTCTCAGATAGTCAGCTGCAACGTAGGACCAGGCACGTATATGCATCGGTCCAAGTTGCCATACCGCATTAGCACAACAAGATGAACACCGGATACATAGGAGTAGTTAATTCAGTGGTGGTAATATATAGAAGAAAGACTGTGTATAAGGAGATAGTAAAGGAAGAAAGAATTAGTTCCTAGACAGATATGAAGCGATTTTAATCTCTTAATTTAAGGAAGACAGAGAGTGTATACATCGACGCCATTGTGATCGATTCTGAGCCATGTCACCAAGAGTCTCCAACCATTGGTTACGATAGTCACGCGGACCCCAACCAGGCAGTCTGAATCTCCCAACATGGCTCAGACCAGAAGTTAGTGACTTCAAGCACTGATGCCACTTCTCAGATAAGTGAAAATCATTACGAAATTGACAACAAAGTGACATGATCAATTTGTAATATAACTTAGAAGTTGTTATGTATGTTTATTCACTTAAATCCGTTGTGTGAAGTATGGTGTAATACAATTTACCGGTAAATATCAAGGTAGGTAGAATAATGTACGAACCTATAAGCTATTTAGCTAAAGGTTGTGTTATAACTGGTCGTCATGGATTGTTGTGCCGAAAAAACGCTGATCATTTGTACGTACTCGGAACGAAGGGACCTCCTCAATTCCCAGGACGCGAAAGTAAGAACACAAAGACTGGTATAAATGAAGAATTATCAACCCCCCCCCACAAAAAAAACAGAACAACGATGATGAACCTAGTCGAAAGCACATTCATATATTGATTGTACACCCATTATCATTAATAATTAGGATGAAATCACATATATGAGTATAGTTCATAGTCAATTGAATACAAGAATATCGTATATTATACGGAATAAAATATCATACGAGAAAAGAAAACAAATACTACATTGCGTAATCACTACATTGAATCAAAACGGATGTAATGATGAACAAAATTCATAATGAGTAAATCTATCGAATTTTGACTTTTCGTTCCATAATATCAGATTGGATCCTTTTAATTATCAAGCTTTATTTATTTGAACACATAAATATTGGTACAAAGGGACATCGAATAGATATTCACCATACATGTCACTCGATTTTTATATGGGTTTTCCAACTCCCTTAAGTGAATCATTCGCTTATCGTCCTCTCAATTTCGTAAACAACACCTTCGCCGCGAGATGGAAGTCAGTAGGACTTCCCTGGTAGTGGCTGTATACTCGCGGCCATTTGTAAACAATCCAATGGAAAATTCCAACTTTGTTACCTATACAGAACTTAAAGCTATGCTCAGATAGGTTGACTTGAGGTTATAGACCAGTTTCAACAAACCACAATAAGATTGAGATATCATAAATTATATTAAACAAACTTTTTTTGTTGACTTAAAATTTGCTTACAGTAGTTATGTAGCTGCGGTTGTATTTACAGAACTAAACAAAATATTTTTATAAATTTCACAAAGAATGATGTGAAAATAAAGTAAAAGATGAGCGAAAACACATAAGACAAACAGGTATGGAATACATGAACTGTTTGATGTTGGACCATCATTGAAAACCTGAAAGCACTGGAAATCTGTTTCGTCCTATTGTGGGACTCTTCAACAGTGCTTATCCACGAGTTCGCTCGCGGGATTCGAACCCAGGGTCTTCACTCTGACGTGCGAACGCTTAACCTTTAGACCACTGAGCTGACCGGCATCCAACGGTGTTAATGTCTGACCTCAACCAATCCACGAAATTGCGCGACCATTTTTTATTGTACTGAGGTAGATACCTATCCCGAATCCTGCGAGTAGGATCGTGAATGCGCACTGCCGAGGAGTCACACAATAGGACGAAACGGCCGTCCAGTGCTTCCAGGTTTTGAATACTGGTCTAACATCAATCAATTCATGATCTTAATCAAAAACTTAATAATCTCTACAACCCTATACTGATAGGTATAGAATACTTTTAGAAAAAATTTGGTTACGTCTACTCTTTAATGTCGATAAACAAGGAGGTTCAGATGCAGACGTCAAGGCAAGGATTGGCAAAGCTAGAGCGGCATTCCTTCAACTGAAGAACATATGGAACTTTCAACCAATATCAAAGTCACAATCTTCAATACGAACGTCAAGGCAGTTCTACTGTACGGAGCTGAAACTTGGAGAACTACAACAACCACCATCAAGAAGGTACAGGTATTTATTAATAGCTGTCTACGCATGATACTCAACATCCATTGGCCGGATACCATCAGCAACAGCCTTTTGTGGGAGAGAACCAACCAGCTTCCAGCTGAAGAGGAAATTAGGAAAAGACGATGGAAATGGATAGGACATACATTGAGGAAATAATCAAACTGCATTACGAGACAAGCGCTAACTTGGAATCCTTAAGGGAAGCGAAAAAGAGGAAGGCCAAAGAACACATTACGTCGGGAAATAGAAGCAGATATGAAAAAGATGAATAAGAACTGGAAAGAGCTTGAAAGGATTGCCCAGGACAGGGTTGGATGGAGAATGCTGGTGAGCGGCCTATGCTCCTTCACGAGAAGTAACAGGCGTAAGTAAGTAAGTAAGTAAGTACTCTTTACTGTAATGTTTTTTTTTAAAATAAGTTCATTTTCAACAGCATAGTCTCTATTTCATTTATTGAAAATGGATCAAATCAGAATGGAATTATTAATCTTTACACTTAAAGTCAAATATACGAAAAAAATAATAAATTAGACAGTAAGTTAATACGAGTTCCAAATAGAACGAAATGCACGTCCTGAATTCTACTGCTAACCACTATCTATCTTTGCTTATAAAAATAATTGATACATTAAAAAAAATTTTCTTGAATCAATACAATTGTTAGTGTTGGTATTATGTTTAACTATTGAACTGCTTCACAACAGGTAATATGTATAAGACCAGATCTGTACACCGGAAACAGAGAGAGCAAGAGAAAGAGAGAGAGGGAACTCCTTCATTTTCATTTCACAGAAACACATGCACACAAAGTCAATACAAATTATGAATTATTTATATAATACATTATGCACAAATACATATACAATAGCACACATATCTAGACAAATGTAAATTTTCTCCGTATATATATGAACTAGATTATAGATTAAAAATAAGAAAAAATTATCTTTCTTTTTTCCAAAGATCATTTTCTTTCATGTTGTTGTTTAGTCTACTCGATTGCAACAGATAATGATTGAAAGGGATTATTAAGTTTATGCCAAAAAAAAAAACAAGAAAAAGAAAGGAGAAAACATCACTACCACCACCATCATGATCAACATCAGTAAGAACCAAGTCACGATGATGATTGATTATCGAAAATCGTTGCTAATAAATTTGATAGAAATATCAGTATAATTAATACAATATGATTAATACCGGCTCAGTGGTCTAGTGGTTAAGCGCTTACGCGAGAAACTGATAGGTTCTAACTTCAAACCTCGCGGAGGGTGGGATCGTGGATGCGCACTACTGAACAGTTTCATACTAGGACAAAAATGGCCATCCAGTGCTTCCAGGTTTTTCATGGTGGTCTAGCTTCAATTGACTTATGATTTCAACTATTGAAATTACTAGAGTCTCCATGAAACCCCTTCTGATAATACAATTAGTTGTTGTTCAATTTCCAACTGTTTAATTTATTTTTGGTAAAACAAAATATTATTTTTGATGATAAATAAAAACAGAAAAAACAAATCAGTAGTAGCCAGTTTGTTTGTTTTTTAAGAGATAGGAGGAAATAACTTCTAGTAACCTTTTGTACATGGTTATTAAGTTAAACTGATGAAGGATTTAGGCCATTCAATACACTTTGGTATATAGTTAGATTCATATCTGAAGACTGATTAGTGAGATAAAAACTAGATTCAGTACTTGAGGTTTACCTATTCCACACTGTGAACAATGCAATGAATATCCTCCTGCTTCCTTTCACTACTTCATCAATTGGTTTGCCAACCTTACCTAGTACCCGTTTCCTAACAACTACATTACTTACTCGGTGGTCCCAGGATATACGAGCAATTTTTCGGAGACACCTACAATCGAATACTAGTAACCAAAGAATATCCTCTACTCTTACCGGTCATGCTTCACTGTCATAAAGTACGACGGAACGAACTGCTGCACAGTAAACTCGCTCTTTGGTTGGTACACGGATATCTCGTCCACGCCATAAATGACGCAACTTGGCAAAAGCTAGTCGAGACTTCTGTATCCGTGATGAGATTTCCCCACACATCGGACCACAAGGACTGATGAGACTCCAAAGATAAGTGAAGCGGTCGACACGTTCAACTACTTTACTCTCTATCATTAGTTCAGGTGCCGATGTAACCCAATCCCAAAGGAACATTTTCAATTTGGAGGGAGAGAATCGCATCCCAAACATGGTTGCATTGTTGCTTAGAGTATTCAGAAGACTCTGCATTTTGTTAGCGTCTTCATCAAATACAACAATGTCATCAACATATTTTATGTCAACAAGTGAATCCAAACCATTTCAGACGATAGATATTCATAATCTGAACCAATTTACCAATTTTACCTTATATATATATATATATATATATATATATATATATATATATATATATATATATATATATATGTAAACTAATAATGAGACTGATCCACTTATATTAATAGCTTGAAGGTGTTTGCAAGAATAAACTCAAATAGATATAAAATATTCTAAGAATTAAAATGAATTATAGGTAAATACATATAAGATGGTATCATAACTGCCCCCAAATGCCCTGGTACGGCCGAGAGTGGGGAGAGTCCGCTCTCCCTCTCCAAATGCTCTCACATGGCCATGCGTATATAGCCTCTGACAGGGAAGTCCTACTCACTGCATTCTCGTGGCATGATTGTTGTTTACGAAAATGAGAGAACGAAAAGCGAATGTCTGGCGCTTTAACAGGATCCCAAACCAATGGTGCACATGGGCTGGCTCTAGTATCCTGAAGGAACAAATGGTGTATGAACCAATTGTTGGTCACCGGCTACCATGGAACTGAATCTCCTCATGATGCTCCACTGCCTTGTGGGTCAGACATTCAGGTCGAAGGCTCAGGGAGTGGCCCCCTTAGAAAATCACCTGCTTCGGTCTGGGCACCCGGGCAGTATTACAGCCCTCACACAAATCGATTGAGATTCGTGTGGCGCATATGTATTTGGTGCTTCCTTGTACCTATACTTATGTGTTAAAATGAAATGAATGAAAATGGTATCATAACTAACCTTAGTAACAGATAACTTGACAAAATATCTATAAATATATCCAGCTTAACATCATCATCATCATCATCATCATCATCATCAACAACAACAACAACAACAACAACAACAACAACAACAACAACAACAACAACAACAACAACAACAACATAGTAAATGATAAGATTATTTTCGCTTGAGTGAACTTATTTGACCCATTTAAAAAGTGGAAGAGAAATTCTCTGATGATTTTCCTTAATTACAACGAATCTATTGGATTTGGTCACTATCAAACTGATATATATATATTTTGATTGATATAGACTACTAAACTTTGTCAATACACTACTCAATGATAAATTATAATCATTTGAAATTATCATTATTATTACTAAAGATTTCTTAATCACTGATAAAATATATATAGTCAGTCAGTCAGTTACAATGTAGGACCATGCATATATATGTATTGGTCTAAGTTGCCATACCACATTAACACAACAAGATGAACACCGGATTCATAGAAGTAGTTAATTCAATGATAGTAACACATAAAAGAAAGATTGCGTGTGAGGATATAATACAGGAAGAAAGAATTAGTTCACAGAAAGAAAGATAGCAAGCGATTTTAATATCATAGTTTAAGGGAAGATAAAGAGTGTATACATCAATGCAATTGTGATGGATTCTGAGACATACATAAAAATAACAAGGTCAAAATTGATCTATCTCACTTTCTTTTTGATTACTTATATTGTCGTATGAGTATTATGAGCTTTTAAATATAACATATTTGTATATTTATCCCGTTTAAATATGGAATATATAGTGGATACATGGCACGCTGATAAACTTTAAAACTAGTAAAGTAAGTAATTACTTATTTACTAGCAAAATTATTTAGAATAAGGGCCAGTGGCTCAAACTTTGGCCACTATAATGTTCCAGATCCAAACTCTATCTTGTTTACTTCTCCCAAATACATTGGTACGGTCAAGGGTGGAGAGACTTAGCTCTCTCTCTCGAAATGCTCTCACATGGCCACGCGTATACAACCATTACCAGGAATGTCCTAATCACTGCATTCTCGTGACATTGCTGTTGTTTACGAAAGTGTGAGGACAAAAAACGAATGTTCGTCATTTTAACCGGGTTGGTGAACATGAAGAGTTCACCTAGAGGAGTTGAAAAACCCTCATTTCAAACCGATGGTGCACATGGGCTCCAGTATCCTGAAGGAACAACTGGCGTACGAACTTACTGTTGGTCACCGTCTACCATGGGTCTGCATCTCCTGACGTTGCTCCACTTCCTTGTGGATCACACCTTTAGGTCAAAGACTCGGGGTGTGGCCCCCTAAGAAACCTGCTTCGGTTTGGGCATCCGAGTAGTATTATAGCCCATATTAAAAATCAAGTGACTTGTGTGGTGCATACGTATTCGGTGCCTCCTTGTACCAATAATTATCTGTCCAAATAAATATTATATAGAGAGAGAGAGATCGAAACGATCGTTTTTAGAAAGACAGAGGACAGTCACAAACAAGCTACTGACTCACCTAGAATACAGTACAATAAAAAATTTTCAATTATTCATATAAAAATATTAGATTTATGGTATTTTGTCAGTCAAAATTAAACTTATGACTTGATTTCTAAAAATCTTATCGGTTCGTAATTATGAATAGTTAAATAGAACTATGATAAATGTCTTATTCTGCTTAGGATACAGTACAGTTGATTGTTAAAATGACAATTTTGCAACCAAATCAGAACAATATCAAATTAACTTAACTACGATCCAGAAAATGTGTATTCGATATATAGTAAACTGATATGATATTGTATATTTGATGCAAGTATATTTTAGCCTTATTTCTCATCTAACCCTATACAAGCAATTGTGTTTATAACAAAATTCTGTTCGATATAGTTGCTATGAGCACAAGTGATCTGCTTGCTTTGAAATTTGAAGGTACAGTATCTTGAGGAATCCCAGACTAGGACAAAACACATGTTCATTGATCACTGATATTAGGGCAATTTGTGAAACATATTAGTCCCTGATGAAAAATATCGAAATTCAGCAAAACCAAAGTATATTGAGCAAGATTCGGACATGAAACCCATAAGTCAAAAGCAAAACAATATGATTATTTATCCAACATCATTACTTATGTATAAACCAGAGACTGTAAATGTTTATATTTAAGCGGATAAGTGCTTACACTAGCAAAGATAAGCAGAAGTGATATGTTAAGGTTTGTAAGTGAAAAATGTAAATCATGTATTTCTATGCGCAAATGAATATCTTATATACTTAAAAACGAACGTTTGTTTGTATGATGTACTAACTATTATAAATTGTATGTAAACAAATGGGGTTGATTTTGTGTTAAGAAAAAAATCGATATGAGACCACAATTAAACAAAGACAATAAGTCGAAGCTGCCAAAATTTTCAATATCAGATCAGTCAGTAACAACGTAGAACTTCGTACATACGCACGTACATCAGTTCAATTTGCCATACCACATTAGCACACAGATATTATTGTCGATTCAAATCCCATAGTGGTATAGGTAGAAAAAGTATGAGCAGCAATCAGAAAGATTAGGGTTTGAAGATGTTATTCAATGAGTAAAATCCAGTGAAATGAGTTTGGAAAGAGAAAAACGAAAGGGACATGAAGAATTCAGAAGATTAGAATTTCGGAGAACACAAAGAGTGGATGCATCATTGCGCGATTGCAAACCATTTTGAACCATGAGTCATTCAAGGTCTCTAACCATCGGTTGCTATCGTCTTGTGAATCCTAACTAGATAGTCAACACCTACCAACATGATTCAGTCCACTTGTCAGTTACTTCATGGATTTGTGACATGTTTTGGTCTGGCCGTCCCTAGCTTTCTTCCAATCTACTTCTACACCATAAAACATCACACGTCAGGGCAGTCGGTGGTTGGGCATACGTAACACGTGTCCCAGCCAGGAGGACTTACAAAAGTTGACTGCTTGGATACCGTCAAACTAATTTTTCGTATATTGAACTGATACAGAAGAAATTAGAACAGATGTCTGTTTAATAAATCGACATACAAAAAGTTGTCATGCTTTTATGCTAACAATGAGCTATAACATGCTTCCATTTGACTTTTCAGACCTATCTAGTACTAAGATTTGAGTCGAAATAAAAACATGGTATAAGAAGTAATACAAATCAATACACAGTATCCATCTATCGTCATTGATTGTTGATATTAGACAATTAGACCCATGATACTCAACTCCCTCAATGGTAAGCATGAATAACGAACTTTATCGTACAGCACTAATTTAAATGCCGTCAAACAATTGGGACGGTATTTACAAAATCGAAATACACTAGAAAAATCCATATTGATAGTCTCTTTTTATTTAAATTATCTCTCTTGTATATAGTAGTAAAACTGCCAAATGTAAAACGACGAGCACATGTGCACCATTGGTTTGGAATGGGGGTTTTCCAACTCCTCTAGGTAGATGCTCGATATCCACCAACCCGGTCAAAGCACCGGACATTCGTTTTTTGTCCTCTCACTTTCGTAAACAACAGCGATGCCACGAGAATGAAGTGAGTAGGACTTTTTTGGTAGTGGTTGTATACGCGTGGCCATGTGAGAGCATTTGGAGAGGGAAAGCTGACTCTCCCCACTCTCGATCGTACCAAGAAAAACTTGAGTACAACCGATAAAGCAAATAATGGATACACTGATAGATTATCAGTGATCACATTTTTTTAAATATAGACTATCATTTGCAAATAATAAATTAGTTGTCACAGTGTAAATTAAAATGAATAAATGAAAATAAAGCGTAAAAACTAACCTCATAGGATGTAAATCAAATAGTGGAGGTTGTAGTTCAGCATATTCAATAGCAGTAATTCCTAAAGCCCATACATCACATTTTTCATCATAACCACCTTTACGTTCAACAGCTGCAACTTCAGGTGCCATCCTGAAAAGAAAATATACAAGGCAAACTGACAGTATACATGTTTATATACGAGATTTTTTACTTTGTCAATGGAATAAAAATAAAAATGTAACTGAAACGAAGGTTTTTCTTATGTCCATCAACTGTATGGGTAACTTTCGCATAACGACAATCCAGTAAATTAATCGATGAGATACTTTTTACATTATTTACGAAATTTTTTAAAGAAAATAGAGATTATACTTAGCAAAGAAATGGTGATCCTATAGTTATATATTCATATAATGAATAAAGTACTGTTTAGTGTGAATTATCTTTCCATAGAATCTATTTATGGCATGATGAGCAATGTCTTTAATTATTTTATTTATTTTATTTAAACACATAAATACCGGTACAAGGGGACACCAAATACATGTGCGCCACATAAATCTCATGTCATTTGTGTAAGGGCTGTGATACTGCCCAGGTGCCCAAACTGAAGCAGGTGGTTTTCTCAGGGAGCTACACCCTGAGCCTTCGACTCAAAGGTCTGATCCACAAGGCAGTGGAGCATCGTAAGGAGATGCAGTTCCATGGTAGACGGTGACCAACGATTGGTTCATACGCCATTTGTTCCCTCAGGGTACTGTAGCCCATGTACATCATTGGTTTGGAATCAGGGTTTTCCAACTCCCCTAGGTAGACTCCCTGTATCCACCAACCTGTTTAGAGCGCTGGACATCCGCTTTTCGTCCTCTCGATTTTGTAAACAACACCCTCGCCACGAGAAGGCAGTAAGCAGGACTTCCCTGGCAGAGGCTATATACGCGTGGCCATATGAGAGCATTTGGAGAGGGAGAGCGGACTCTCCCCACTCTCGGCCGTACCGAGGCATTTGGGAGCAATGTCTTTAATAAGGTTTTCAAGTCCATTTTGAATCAAAGCATTATAACTTGCATTATTTTTTTTTAAAAAATCATTTGACTTGAACTCTAGAAGAGTAAGGGAGAAGTGAAACAAAAAATGTGTGCTTAATTATTAATCAGACAATAATATAGATGTAATTTAAGTTTAATGTCGATAGTGAGATCAAAGTTATTAGATGGAACAGAAAAATGTAAAATTGTAAACTATATGAAACAAGTCGAGTGTCACCATATGAAAATTCCATATCAATCTCTGAGAGAGATGATATCATGGGAAAGATCTTAATTGATCTGAGATCAAATGACCTATGGAGTTAGTTTCTACCAACCATCTAAGTCATTTAATCATGTTTATTTCTTTAAATATTTGTATGTAAGTGTATGTAAGTTCACCTAGTCTGCAAACGGTACACAGTATTATTGCATTTTACATATCGATCAGGTCTTTTCTTTAGTTTAACCAACCACAAACTCACCAAACCATACTCCGTAACAACTTATGATAAAAATGTACTTTCAATATGGCATTTCAATAGATAGTTTTCATTAAATCATTAACTCTTTACATTAGAGGTTAGTGGAAATCGTCCAATTTCTGCATAATACCTTGCATAATGGAATAGCTTTAACCAAATAACCACTGAAGATCGGGAAGTAATGGGGAACTGTTTCGCCCTAGTATGGGGACATCCTATTATCAGTACGTGCGCAGTCTCTCCAAGTGTAAAGCCCGAGAATTCGAGGCTTAAGGTCGCAGATTTAAACCTTCAACTTTAGTAAATTTGTGATTTTATGGTAGATCAATTACATGATATATTGAACATAATAAACAACCTATACATTATTCATCTTATAATTTCACTGCTGTTTGTACAAAAAGGGTTTGTTCAAACGAGTACAAAGGGTTGAAAAAAATTCAACGAACATTCACTTAATAAGTTGGTACGTTGTTGAACTTTAGACAATTGAAAGCAAGAAGTAAAATGTTCTCGAGATTTAGGTATCTTGCTTGATAATCAATAAGGCGTACCTAAAACGTCAAGGAAACTAATTCTGCTTCAGTAGTTCGGAAGCGATATAGTAGATCCAGTGGTTAAAGCATTACCGGATCGTATATATAATAAATAAATAAATAAGCCTACTATTTTTACTTAGTTGCTGAGCTTCTTTAATATTCTATTTATCAATATTGTGATCTTCCAAACATACACTAAAGAACTTGACTATTGGTAGCTTAAAGCATCAAATTCCAGCTACCCGAATATAACCCGAAGCGTTGGGGACTAATATACCAATCAAATACCCTCTGTTCAACCATGAAAATAAATAAAAGTATCATTAAAACCTGGATTATAAAACAACAGATGTAAAATCTAGTTCGAGTAGCGATTTCATATTGTAAAGATTTAATTTGACTGAATAGCCAATCAGTCATAATCAACACAGAATACATGAGGCAGTGCCTTGGAGGTTAAGACAATTGGTTGTAGACCAGTAGGTCACAGATTCTAATCACCTCTAATCTCAGCACCCGGCGAGTATCACAAGCTCACACAAATAAAATGGCTACAAGAATGTGGGATCTGGGGCGTATGTTCATCCACTCAATCTTGATTGCTAAACTAGCTATATGACATAAATATTTAAGAAAAACAAGCACTCCCACTTTACCCTTTAAAAATATTCTTTTCATCATATCTCATGTAACAAAAGTGAGTTGACCAATACTTACCAGTATGGTGTTCCAATGAAAGAATTTCGACGTTGAATTGTCTGCGTGATTTGAGCTGCAACACCAAAATCGGCTGCAAACAAATAAAGATAAACAAAATTTTTAAAACTACAAGATTTTGCTATTATTATAGATAAGTGTTTCTTGCGACGAACTTTTAAAATAATTCCCAACTAATTGGTATAAGTCATTTCGAGAATAAGAATGATTCGGTCGGTTATTTCTGCGAATTAAAGGTGACTTGGTTTTGTATGGCCACATCGCAAGAAAAATAATTCACTGTGATTTGAATCCCTTGACTCTCACAGAGGCTAGTGACTTTATCTATTAAATGTCAGAAAATGTCGTGTTTAAATTAGAAACTTAGACCAAAATAGTTAATTGTAACAAGTAATAAAACGAACTACGTACATAAAGTGAAAGATTTGACTGGATAAGTTACTGAAAACACAGCTAATTGCACCAACATCATAGTTGATATACAGTTACGTAAAAATGAGGTATATGGTTGAGATAAAAATCCATGGGGGTTCTAAACTGAGTATTAGGTACTGTTTCATCTAATTATCCAAAAGGTACAAAAAAATGAGCCACACAAATAAGTCGATCATATTGTGAAAAAAAGGACTGTCGTAAATATCATAAGCAAAAAAGAACTGTATCAGTTGAAAGACAAACATGTGCGGTCTCCAAGTGTACAAAAATAGTGATTTTATTAAAAACGTTAAGTTAGAAATTCAACCTTCCATCATTGAAACGTTGCAAATGTTAGTTTACTGTTTAAATTAATGAAACACGAACAGCATATACAGCGAATAAATGAACTTGCCAATTTTGACATCACCATCAGTCGTCAGTAGAATATTTGCACCCTACAAATTTAAAATCAAACAAATGTTACAGATTCATACTGTATATTATAGAGCTATGCAAAAAATGGATTAAGTATATATATATATATATATATATATATATATATATATATATATATATATATATATATCAAACATTCTAAGCAAATTAGTCGGCTACAACGTAGGATCAGGCACATATGTGCATCGGTTCAAGTTGCCACATCTCATTAACAGAAGATGAACACCAAATTCATAGAAGCAGTTATTTCAATGGTAGTAACATATAAAAGAAAGATTGCATGTAAGGATATAGTACAGGAAAAAAGAACTAGTTTGTAGAAAGATATGAAGTAATTTTAATCTGATTGTTTAATGGAAGACAGAAAATGTATACACCTACGCCATTCTGATAGATTCTCAGCCACGTGACCCAGGGTCTCCAACTATTGGTTATGATAGTGACGCGGACCACAACCAAGTAGTCTGCATCTACCAACATGGCTCAGACTAGAAGTTGGTGACTTCAAGCACTGATGCCACATTTTAATTTGGCTGGCATTAACTTTCTTCCATCCATTTCCAACATTAGTCAGCCTTGCGCGTCGCGGCAATCGGTGTTCAGGCAAACGTGACACGTGGCTCAACCAACTCAGTCGATGAAGATTTACGACCTCATCTACTGGCAAATTATGAAAGACGGTTATTTAGGATAAAATTATCCTGATATCCCAAAAGCACCAACTACAATCATTAGTTCAGATCCAATGAAGACATTCAGACAATCAGCAGAAATATTTATAGCGTTCTAAACCAACCAAGACCCAAGTATGGAATACTCGAAATGTAATTACGAGTACCTATGTATGACAACGAATTGTGATCACCGTTGCCATCTGAAAAAGTTGTGCTGTTACATGGGGCCAGTTTTGTAGGTACATAACATTAACTCTACTAAATCGACAAGCTAGAGAGAATAAAATTTTATGGAAGTATGGCTTCGTAGAAAACAAAATCGCGTACAATATGATATAAAACTATTTGGCATTAACAATAAGACAGTTCTGAAACATCAATTACCTTAATATCACGGTGTATTTTTCCTGCTTTATGCATGTATTCTATGCCTCGTAAAGTTTCTCTGGATACAAAAGCTATGCAATTCTCTTCAATAGGCCTCTGGATATCTATATTTTTGTGTTATGTCATTAATCAAATGCCTACTTGTGTAAATATCCTGCATAGAGAATCCTCCACAGAACTCCATACATATCCACAATTTGTTATTTCTACATTTATTATAACGACGAATACTATACCTGAAATAGCTACCGAAGAACTGTACGATGTTGCAATGTCGACATTCGCGGAGGGTTTGTATCTCCTGAAGTATAGCACGTACATCATCCTTAGCATCGACTTTAATTATTTTGACAGCAGCGAATTCCTTTGTCCTTAACCGAATGGCCTGAAAACAATGTATCATTTTACAGATGATACCTTGTAAACCTCGCCGTATGTGCCAGTTCCAATGCTCTGGATTAGTTTATATTCTTCCTTTGGGTCTTTGTTGTTCACGAACTCCCTTATATACCCTAACTTCTGCTCGCTAAGTTCTGATCTAACTGCCATTTTGAAGAAACTCCATCACTGGCTTCTGCACCGCAAACAACCAAACAGGCCGCTTTCATGATACCCAAAATCCAATATCTTTGTCTCGAGATTGTATAAACTGGTTGATTTCTTTGCGCTCGTTTCTTATTGTTTCGATGCGGTTCCAGATATCTGATATTGTCTAGCAGATATCAATCTAGACACTCCTACAGCAATGTTGAACCCCGACCATATAGGCTCCTTAAAGTTTAGCGGTAAATAAATCCTCAAAATAACTAGCTCTGTAAGTTTTCGACATTGGATGCTGACCACAGCTTTAATGGGATCGCCCAATCGTGCCGAAATAATATCGACGCAACGTCTTCAATACGTTGCGCAGACTTTCTCATCCAGGTGTTCGTGCAACCATCAAGCTTATAGCAGAACGGTTTTGCTGGCCTGGTATCAATAAAGACGTGAGAGAGTGGGCACGCTTCTGTGTAACCTGCCAGAAATCTAAGGTTATTAGACATAACAAATGTCCCCTAGGCTCGTTTAACACTCCCGATGCTCGCTTCGACCATGTTCATTTGGATTTGGCAGGACCTTTACCAGATTCAAATGGATATTCTTATCTTTTAACATGCGTAGACCGTTTTACTCGATGGCCAGAAGCAGTACCCATCAAGGGCAGTACTGCTGAAACAGTGGCCTGCGCCTTCGTCGAGAGGTGGGTAGCAAACTTCGGCTGCCCGACAACAATCACTACAGATCGTGGACGTCAGTTTGAATCTGATCTTTTCCGTTATCTGACCGCAAAATTAGGAATCATTCGCTTCCGAACGACGGCCTACCACCCACAAGCAAACGGGTTAGTAGAACGTTTTCACCGACAACTAAAAGCGTCACTATCAGCCTCAAACATTTCTCAGTGGACTGACCCACTTCCACTCGTCTTACTAGGTATTTGCAATGCAGTGAAAGCTGACATTGGATACACTGCGTCTCAACTCGTTTATGGTACGACCATTCGACTTCCAGGAGAGGTCGTGGATCCTTCATCCTCTTTGATGGACATGGATCTAACCTCCTACGCGAACAGGCTTACAAACGCAAAGCATTCAGTTAAACCTGTTCCCACTCTACCACAATTAACTGATGTTTTCGTTCAACCTGACATACGATATGGTACACACGTCTTCGTACGTCAAGACTCACATTGACGACCTCTCGAATCAGCATACGAAGGACCTTTCAAAGTTCTTCAACGCGAACTTAAGTACTATATAATCGATAAGGACGGCACCAACGATAGCATCAGCATCTATTGCCTCAAAGCAGCGTATTTAAAAGGAAATCCTATTCACGTCGATTTTCCTTCAATACAATTGCACGACACAACTCCTGCCCTTATAAAACCTCAATCGGCAGCCAACACACACGTTGATACTACGGCAATATCAGAAAATATACTCAAAACAACGCGTTCTGGAAGAAGGGTAAGATTTCCAGAACATTTGAACGATTACTGCACGTAAGATACAAGTTTACATTTTATATCCCCTCGATTTTCCCTTGTACTATATATATATATACTTTTAAAAAAACCGAATTTAATATCCTTATATTTTTTTATTTTTTTATTTCAAAAAACGATATTATAAAAACCCTTTATACACTATTACATGAGCATGAGTTTATTTTCCAGTTTTTGTGTTTTCACGCACGTACGAGTGTATTTCGACATACACTCACATATTTTTTTCTTTTCCAGGACGGCTGTGAAAGGCGATAAAAAGAACGATGAAGTTTGCTTGAAACGGAAATCTCCATTGTACTTTTTCTTCTTCTACTATATTGTACATCATGGTCCCTTATTTTAAGGAAAGACGACCAGACGCTGCTAAACCTAGCAAGCTATCAGGAGAGTGTATACCAACGAACAACTCGTTGTCTTTAAACTTCTGCCTGGCAACGTCTTAGGGTTATCACTACCCCACAAGGGGGGAGTGATCTGTAGCGGAAAATACATCTCCAAAATAAATAGCTCTGTAATTTTTCGACATTCCATGCTGACCACAGTTTTAATGAACTCATCTAGCTGAAGGCGCTCTATCAAGCATCCGCACCAAATCACGTGTGGGAATACCGTGCTCAACATCTGCCGCAATCGCTAGCCAGATCAGTTCAAACGATCCTCGATATATTGATAGCTTATCAAATATATCTTCGATCTCCTCGCTTCTGTCTTTTGATTTTACTTGGTGGGTGCGCTTCATATTAGGTGTTACTGGTTAAAGCGTTGTCAAACTCTGAATATTTGTGGCATCTTCAAGGTAATCCTAGGGTCGTAGTTACGAAAATACCGACATTTAAGTAAGACCTTATTTGTCTCTTGATGATAGAATAAAAAACAAGTCGGCACCAGCTGAGCTGTAAACCCGTCGTCAAAATGGTGAGTAAAGTCTCAGATTAGTGGGTTTTCTAATAGTCAGGTTTAGAAAGCGAACGCTACCAATGCCTGTATGGATAAGCCGTCCCCTTTAGGAGTTTTATATGCCAATGCTTGTGGTCTGAGAAATAAATAAACTAAGAGCATTAGTTGACAATTTAAGGCCACTCATTGTAGCTGTGACGGAAACTTGGTTGGACCAAGACTTCGACTTTACTCCGGAATCATCCGGACACCACCACCTAAGAAATGATAGACATAAATGTGGGATAAGAGGTGGCGTTCAATAATATAAATATCCTCTCCATTGCCTGCAGACCTCACGATAGTGGAATTTGCGAATTCATTAGCTGTGAGCTTACAATCGGATAATGTACATTTATACTCAGTGTCATCTATCGCAGCTCAATCTGCTTAGTTGCACATACTAGAGCACATTCAGCTATGGAGTGCAAATAGCAGATGTTAGATATCGGTAGACATTTATACATCTGATATTAGTTGGATTGAGATAGCCACGGTAGGATCTATGAACTCCTTTGGTAATAGGCTCCTGATAACAGTAATGGAGCATACATTAGTAGAGCATGTATCCAAACTCATATGTTTCGATGCACACCACGATTCTTCTTTGTTTGATTTGGTAGTCACTCATGTGACTGAGGATATTGCCAACCTAAATATTCTTCTACTGCTATCAAATAACAACTACGCTGTTTTGTCATTTATGTTTAGAACTTGTGACATGACATACAATCAGGCTAACATACCAGCCATTCAGGAGTGATCTGCTAAGATAGATTGGTCAGTAGGTACTAGCCCATCAGTTAAAGAAGCGTGGTCCATACTTAAAGGCAAGTTTAGTTTAGGTGCAGCCTCGTTTATACCATGCCTGGTACCACATAAATCGAATAATTGTCCACCATGGATAACTAAACAAGTCAAGAAACTTCTTGGAAGTAGAAAAAAGCATCAGAATATATTCATCTCTGTTGGATTAGAACAGTACAGTCGTATGAAAAACAATTGTTTATGGATTGTAGAAATAGTCCGAGAAGTTTATTCTCGTACATAAAAAGGTGAACTCAGAGAAGCAATCGAATTCCATCACTTTTGATACAAGAAAATCTGTTAATACTCACAAGAAGTGATATCAAAAAAGCTGAAGCTTTATCGGAATATTTTAGTAAAGTGTATTCTATCAGCGATGAGGAACGGCCAAAGATTAATTGTGATTGTGGCGGCTTCTTGATGAATCCTGTAATTATTAGGAAAGGTACCATCTTAAGACTACTTCAGCATCTCAAACCTGACAAATCCAGTGGTCCTGATGATATTCATCCTAGGACTATAAAAACCCTAGTGGATGTAATTGCTGAACCTAAAGCCATAATGTTCGATATGTCTCTACAGCAGTCCAAACTGCCAAGAGACCGAAAAGACGCAATAAGTAGTCCGGCGTATAGGGCGGAAAGTAGAGATTTATTTAGTAACTATAGACTCGTTAGTCTAGCCAGTGCAGTTGTTAAACTAATGGAAAAGATTATTCGGATGTCTGTTATAAACTATGTGAAAGGGCATAATTTTTCATTGAAGGAACAACACGGTTTTCGAAAAGGCCTATCATATTTGACAAATCTGCTCATTGCAAGAGAATTTTGGGCTCGAAATATTCCTGTAGATGTGATTTTCATAGATCTAAGTGAAACCTTTTATAAGGTCTCCCATTCGGGTTTTAAATTAAAACGAGAAAGTTTTGGAATCCATTATAAACTTGTAGACTAGATAAGTGGCTTTTTCTATGACAGAAAATAGAGGGTAAGTGTAAATGGGGCTCTTTCACTGTGGGACAAAATCCTGAACGCTGTGACAGTATGGTGTCACGCTCTAGAAAACCGAATTTTGGCACGACCAAAACTATGAGGGGTTAAGCACTTACCAAGACACTCACCTACCGAAAGGGGATAGCAATGTCTCTCCACCACTAAACCGACAGCTTCACTAAACCTAAACCTCCCAGAACGATCCCGCAAACGCATAAATGACTGAGCGCATCAATTATACATACCGACACGGCGATCTACGTCAGGCAAATAGGACTTAAAGCAGTAAGCCCAACTCCCGCCGTTCTCATAATCTGCTTGGGGACACTAACACTTTAGATAAGCTAGGGCTAATATATACATGGCGGTTTGGCACAAAAGTAAGTGCTCTCCATTGTCTGACATCCTAACTACAACTCGTACAGTTACTCACTAGCCAACTCAATATTTCTTGTCCCACACCTCTACCAACCTTGAATGCTCGCGATTACTCTATCCTTCCTCACTCGTATTCACTATATTCTTCTTTTTCAGAGTAACCTCATTTGACCGTTATCGTCAAAGAATAACACTATCGGTTGAAGCTATTAACGCATGTAGTCAGCAGCCATTGAATTCACACTGTTCATGAACGACGAAACTAGCCATCTTCTCTGGATGAAACTTGTGCCGCTATTGTCTTAACCCAGTTGTGCTTACGGCACACCATTATTTCACTAATAACGCACATGCGAAGACAAAAAAGGAATACAAGTGGAATTAGTGGGCAGAAGAACGAGTGTACAAGGTCATAGACCACGGAAGAGAAATGGAGAATCGTA